ACTGGGATTATAATCAGACTCCACTGACACTGACAGAGCAGTCTGAGACTCTCCAGGCTGGACTGGGAGCTGGATTAGTTCTTCACTGGGACTGTAATCAGTGCGAGACTCTGGGTTAGTGATTCTCTCCAGGCAGTGGCCAGCCTCTCTCCTCCCCCACTGCTGGCAGCACAATGAGGTCATGTGGTTCAGGCTGTTAATCTTGGAACAATGGCCCCTCTCTCTGCGTGTCCCAGCATCCTCGGAGTCACAAGGAGAGGCTCAGGGGCGTCAGAGGGACCAGGGGGATGCAGGCAGGATCTGGAGAGCTTAGCTGGCCAGCAGCCACATCACCCTGCAGGTCACTGCCAGCCCACTGGAGCCCATCAGGGGGCACTCTCACCCAGCTCACGGCCCTCTGGAGCCCAGCAGGGAGAGCCTGGTCAGTACCTGGAGGGGAGACTCCTGGGAGAGTTGAGGCTGCTGCTTAGAGAGGTATTAGTGGGGCCAGCAGGGGGCGCTCACCCTGCAGGCTGTGTGGCTCCTAATGCCCAAGTACAGTGACGGGGACACTAGACTGTAAAAGGCGCCGTCCTTCGGATGAGACGTCAAATCGAGGTCCTGACTCTCTGTGGTCATTAACAATCCCAGGGCGTTCCTCGAGAGGAGTAGGGGTGTTACCCCAGTGTCCTGGTCAAATTTCCCCCTGGTCTGTACCAATCATGTCCTCCTAATAACCCCCCTCTCTGAACTGGCCTCATCACTCTGCTCTCCTCCCCACTGAGAGCTGGTGTGGGGAGAGTACTGGAGCATCATCCAGGTGGGGTGGAGGGGATGCCCATTACCTGTAAAGCTCCTAGAGTGGAGGGTCCAAAAAGGCGCTATATAAGTGTAAGGAAATATTATTGTGCTGCCCTGCCCCTCTTACCCAGCTCTTTCGACCCCTGGCTGTCGCTGGCCAGCTCCCCCAGCTTGACCAGTGTGTCGAAGTAGCCCTTGGCGGCAGCGGTGACCCCTGCAGGAGAGAGGGGCGAGGTTAGAGTGGCGAGTGGGCTCCGGGCACGGCGGGCGCGGCGCTGTGAGGTACCTGTCAGCGCCTTCTCATACTGCTTCCCCATGGAGACGAAGTTCTTCAGGCTGGGATTGAACTGCTCCAGGATCACCTGGACGGGAAAACAGACACAAGGAGGACCAGGTGTGTTTCTGGACAAGAGACACTGACACGGCCCAGTCACAGGGCTCTAGACTCTTCTAGTCCCTGTGGACACACTGACACAGCACAGTCACAGGGCTCTAGACTCTTCTAGTCCCTGTGGACACACTGACACAGCCCAGTCACAGGGCTCTAGACTCTTCTAGTCCCTGTGGACACTGACACAGCCCAGTCACAGGGCTCTA